TCAGAAAAAAACATATTCTCCTTAGTTTTGAAGCTAATCCCAACTATTTATCAAACCATCCCTATATTTTTGTGAAATTTTGAATTTAAAATTCGGTTAAGAATCAAAAATTTTTTTATCCAAAATATTATTAAGAACCCCATTAAATAATCCACTCTCCATTTGAAATTAAATATTAAATGAGATTAAATTAATTAGCAGAAGCTCCAACTTATAATTATCTCTATTTCTATAAATACTTTATTTTTAAATTATTGTTAAGACTCACAACACTTATTTAAACCAATCCATTTCATTTTTTTCTTTCTTTTCTTTTCATAAAAATAAAAAACAAAACATTATTTTTTCATTTCATTTTATTTCTGCTTTATTTTCCTTTCCTTTCTTAAAAATTCTGTCTCATTCTAATTTTATTATGACTTTTCTTTCATTTTTAATGCTTCCATTTTTCTTTATTTCTTTTTTAATAATACTCTCTCCAACTTTTGTTTGAATAAACTCTCTCAATATTCCAGAATACTGATCGTTCACTTTCGATTTCAGATCATCATAATTTAACAACAAAAAAAACAATAGACCAAAAAACGTTTTAAAGCCATAAATGTTTGCCGTAATGAAGCAAATAACAATAGAACTCCATGCCAACTAAACCATAATTCAGTTTGTCACGCAATAGAACATAACAGTTAAAACTATTTATTTTAATTCGCTCACAAACATTTATACTTACTTTAATTACTTTTATATATCACTTATATATATATATATATAAATCAATCAAATCTCGACCTGAGCAATCTAAATAAAAAACACGAAGCAAAAAAACAACTGCAAACTCAACCAAATTAAATCAAGCAAAAAATATTTGAAATTGATCAAAATAAAAGCGACAAAAATAACGATTTATTAGAGAGAGTATTGCAAAAAACATATTGGAATCAAAAGTACAAAGCTTAAGTATATTTAACGAAACGGAACGAACTCAACAATTTTGATACATAAATAATTATATTTAAAAACTCGAAAAAAAAACTAAACTCGAAAACGCCAACAAGAAAAATCTCAAGAAGTGAAATAATAAACCAGCTAAAAAGAAATTCAACAAAATTGAACAACGATAGAATAAATAACTAAAAAATAACTAATCAAAATTATAATTAAATTTTTCATTTATGTTTTTTCAATAACTAACAAAATTCACAACATTCTGAACATTATTCAAGCTTCACAAAAATTAATTAAGAATTAAAAATATTAAATAATTCATTCAATTTAAGCTTTTATTTTTCAAACACAACAACACAACATTCTCAACATTCGTCACATTCCTTAATAAAGCAGCTGATTATTTAAAGGTTGGATAATAAGAAAAATAGATGTACACATATATATATATATATATATATATATATAAACGTTTTAAAGCCATAACATATATATATATATATATATATATATATATATACATTCAATAAATTTTTAATTTAATTTAGGCATTTATTTTTGCATAGAGATTTTGCATAGAGTTTAGTCAAAATAATTATTGCTCAAAGCCAACCGATCGGCATCAAAATACTTTCATTGTATGCTTATCGGAAACACACTGACACCGGAACAGACAGTTTTGAATACCACTTACCATATAGCTAGCATTTACACACACAGATTCGCACTCACACACACACTCAGAAATAATTGTAAGCAAATATTATATATATATAAAGAAATAGTAATAAGCATACTAAGAATATAAAGCTAGTCGATATAATCCAACAAATGTGTAACATATACAGTAGCAGATAATAATTTCGATAACGACTACGATTACACTACACTACACTAACTAATACACAACTAAAATAAACACAAATATCATTAAAATACATTTAAAAAAACACTCATTTAGTTTCATTTTTTAATTGAACTATAAATAATATCGATTAAATGATATCGATTAATTAATTATTTGAATGGGGACCCAGCGAGAGAAAAAAGACGAAAAAGTAAATAAATAAATCAATATTTGGGTGATATTTTTGGCGTACAACATAAATACCAAAAAATAAATAAAAATTAACAAATTGTGATGATAAATTTAAACAACCACGAAGAAAGTACCAAGTTGAATTAGCAAACAATTTAAAACAAACATAAAATATTTAAAATTATCAAATAAAAAATAAACAAATTAACTCTTAATTGAATGGTTTAACAAGATTCAAAAAGCAAAAAGATTATTTAAGCAAAATAAAAGTAACTAAAAGAAGAAACAAACAAAATGATTAACTTTGAAATTAAAAAAAAAAAAACATTATGTAAAAAATATAATAAACAAGAAGAAGATAACAAAATGATTATCATTCAATTTACGAGATCGCGAAACCGTAACGTGTGCCTTATTCCGGCCTTAAGTTCAAACTAGTTTCAATAATGCATAACCTAAAACTAAAAATAAAAATAATATTTAAATAAGAACTACGACAAAACAACGACAAAAAAAAGTAATAGACAAAAAAAACACCGATTAAGCTGCTTATATATATAAAATATACATATAATCAGCCCATCAATCACTTATATCCAGATATATATCTGCCCAGCTCCGGATGGCGTCTATCTGCCTTAACAAACTGCCTGAATGCTAATGATTATTCAGCGGTAAGTAAAAATCTATATATATATATATATTTATATATATACTTTGATACTAAAGATAAAAGGTGTAAAAATTGAAGTGATACGTCCACTAAGAGGCACAAATCGATAAGAACAATAATCGCAAATTGATAAATCCGCATATCTCCCACAATTTTAAAGATTGAGTCTCCAAACTTTGAGAATAGCTTGCTGGCAAACTCCTTCCACGCCCACACCCTTCGCCCGTCAGGAACTTCGGCCCTAGAAATCTGAAGTGTGCATATCTTCCACGATGTGTAAGCTAGAGCCACAAAATGTTGAACGTATGTAAATCCCCAAAGAATCGATAAAAATTGGATCGCCAATTAAGCAATACAATATATATAAATGTAACTGTAAATATAAATGTAAATATAAATATAAATATAAATATAAATATAAATATAAATATAAATATAAATATAAATATAAATATAAATATAAATATAAATATAAAGTATAAATATAAATATAAATATAAATATAAATATAAATAGAAATATAAATATAAATATAAATATAAATATAAATATAAGTATGAGTATAAATATAAGTATAAATATAAATATAAATATAAATATAAGTATAAATATAAATATAAATATAAATATAAATATAAATATAAATATAAATATAAATATAAATATAAATATAAATATAAATATAAATATAAATATAAATATAAATATAAATATAAATATAAATATAAATATAAATATAAATATAAATATAAATATAAATATAAATATAAATATAAATATAAATATAAATATAAATATAAATATAAATATAAATATAAATATAAATATAAATATAAATATAAATATAAATATAAATATAAATATAAATATAAATATAAATATAAATATAAATATAAATATAAATATAAATATAAATATAAATATAAATATAAATATAAATATAAATATAAATATAAATATAAATATAAATATAAATATAAATATAAATATAAATATAAATATAAATATAAATATAAATATAAATATAAATATAAATATAAATATAAATATAAATATAAATATAAATATAAATATAAATATAAATATAAATATAAATATAAATATAAATATAAATATAAATATAAATATAAATATAAATATAAATATAAATATAAATATAAATATAAATATAAATATAAATATAAATATAAATATAAATATAAATATAAATATAAATATAAATAAATATATTTATATAAATATAAATATAAATATAAACTATAAATATAAATATAAATATAAATATAAATATAAATAGAAATATAAATATAAATATAAATATAAATATAAATATAAGTATGAGTATAAATATAAGTATAAATATAAATATAAATATAAATATAAGTATAAATATAAATATAAATATAAATATGAATATAGATGTAAATATAAATATAAATGTAAGTAGATATATAAGTATCAATATAAATATAAATATAAATATGGATAAACATATAAATATACATATAAATGTAAATATACATCTAACTATAAGACTAAGATTAAAATAGCAATTGGGGTATGCGTGTAAATATAAATATAAATATAAATATAAATATAAATATAAATATAAATATAAATATAAATATATATATAAATATAAATATAAATATAAATATAAATATAAATATAAATATAAATATAAATATAAATATAAATATAAATATAAATATATATATAAATATGTTACAATATGTATATGTATATTTTTCATAAGTAAGCTCACACACGTATACTCATGCATATATGCGTATATGTGCGAGGGTATTTATTCAGCATTGATAGTAGGCAAAGGGAGCTTCTTAAGCACTGTCTGATCATTGTCGCAAGAGAGAGAGATACAAGCGCACACATGCAAACACATAGATGGTAAGCAGCCAGCTGCAAATACAGTTAGTGCTAAGAAGAAGAAGAGAAGAATTTGCAAGAGCACACTTAAGAGAGACGACGACTAACGTAAGACGCCGGACGCTGGCGCTGACGTTGGCTTTGTAAGCACGAAGACGCTTCGCTTGGCGTGCCGAAGATGAACGAAGTGTGCAAGCGAAGACGTTTTGACTTACATTCCTCTGTCGCGCTGCGAGACGCTTTAGCAGCGACTGCTAACATTTCGTCTTTGTTGTTGTTGTTCACTTTTTGTTAAGCAAAAGTTCTATTTCTAAGCACGCGAGATGTGAACGGAACCATTCTCAGCGACGACGGCGACAGCAACGGCGACGACGACGCGACTACGATTCATATTTATACTTGTTTCGTAGCAGCGACAAAATTAGTTTTTCAATGACTCGCGTGCCGCCAGGTTATCCTTAGTCTCAACTAGGGGCGACACTAGCGACGACGACGACGACGACGACGACGACGACGACATTGACGGCGACGTTTTCTGTGTATTTGCAAAAAGTGCGCGATTTTTTCAATATTTGTACTTTTGTGTTGTTTTCTCTACAGTTCAATAAATAGTCAGGTCAATCAATCAGTGTATCAAGCAAACAGACACTCTCTCTCTCTCTCTCTCTCCCTCGCGCTTTCCCTCTCGCTCTCTTTATATCGCTCTCTCAATGCAAGTGTCAATCCTCGATAAGCAAATTTAAACGTTCGACCTTCGACCTTTATATGCGGTATGGAATCAAGTTAAACAACAACCAAAAAAAATACAAATACGGCAAAGTTCAACATAATTATTTACTTAAATAGTAGCACAGTTTAAACAACTCTAAGCAATAAATTCCTCAATGAATCACATACCTAAAATTAAATTACGTATTTAAAATAATTATAAATAACAATAACATAATTTGATAAATAATTTTTTAAAAATTGACAGACACATTTTGAAAGCACAAAATATTTAAAAAATTACATTTTTCAAATAATCACAGACAACAATAATAGAATTTTATTTTTTTATACTTGCACATTTCAAATGCTGCAAGAAAATGATTAAAACATGAAATATACAAAAAAATATATATTTAAAATAATCATATATATCAATAATAAGTTTAAAAGTTTTAGTTTTTTCAAATTTTGAAACGAAATACAATACGAAAAAATACTGGCATATTTAAATAATCATAAATAAAACCGATTTCAAACAATAATTTAATTTATTTTTTATTTTTTCCTTTTCATATTTAAGATTTAGCAATAAGAATGTTTAAAATACCATATATAAAAATAACATATTTTAAAGAACCATAAATAATAAATAATATGATTTGACATAATATCATAGTAATAATAAAAATAATATATTAATTTTCATTTCTTTTATTTTTAAATTTTATAACGAAAATTTATAAAACACTATATATAAATAATAAAGTATTTAAAATAATCATAAATAATATGTAATTTATGAATATATCATTTATGGAATGATATCATCGTGTTTTAAATTAGTTCTTAATTTATTTGGTAAGTTTTTTTCTCCTTCAATTTTAATATTAAATTAATATTTTATTTGAAAAATTCGTTAGCAAACAATAAAGCAGAAATATGTAAGTTAAAATAGATTTTTGAAATCGTTTAACCAAGATATATCCCCATTCTAAATATAAACACCACTACATTTACAAAACCGACCGATTGTTCCTATACAAGCTATATGATATTGACCAATGTTAAATTCACAAATTAATTGAAATTATTCAGAACAAAAAAAAACAGCTAATACAAAAACTGCCATCCACATGAATAGTCATCCGATGCGGATATATATATACGGATATATTCCTACAGAAACTTTGGAGCCGATAGTCACACTGATTTGGCTCTAATAATTATTTAATATTAATTATAGTGGTCCCTGAAAAATGAATAATACAATAAATTTTAGAATAAAAAAAAAAAAAAAAAAAAAAAAAACGCAGAAAAAATCCAATGAGTAGTAGTAGTTAATTAAAAACCTAACATAGATAAAATATAACCTTTATCATAAATATTATAAATAAAATTACAAATTAAATCATATAAAAAATTAATAATAACAACAGTCATTTATGAATAAGGGACCAAGGTGAAATCCTTGAATACTTCGGAAGTGACTTGATTACAGTTGGAAATTAACTGTGTCTTAAATAAATATTCTTTACTTTGAGATCGGGATAATTTTTTGTTTCCCAGATGAATACGATTCATGTCTCCTCTGCCAGTCTATTTATAGAAGAGATTTACTGATCCAAAAATATACAAGTACATCAATAAAATATTGATCTGACGGTACACTTGCCATAATATAATGATTGGATTGGCTTATTAATCACTGCAAGCAATCGTCGGATCTAAGTTTTATTAAGATATGCTGGTGGCAAGGATAAGGAAACACATGATAACATTCAAAGAATTCTTAAATACGGCATAGTTTGTTAAGTAGTAATTACAACAATAACTTGGTGAAAACATATCTCAAAGTAGGGAAGACGTCCACAAAGCAAAAGAATACAATATATAATATATAAAATATAATACATTAAATAGTTTATCATAAATCAGAGAAGTGTGTGAATAAATTTTGAGCTAAGATAGTTTCATTTGAGCTTTAATAATTTTTACAAATGCCAAAGTGAAATTTGTTAGTTATTATTTTGTATGATGTTTAAATGGATATTTTTAAATGAGTTTTAAGATAAGATAGAAAAAAATCACTCGATAGGTATGTCTGTGTCTGTGTTTGTTTAGATATGTAAATAAATCCTGTAAATATATCTTATAATTTTAATATAAATTTGTACATAAAAATATAGTTTCAAATTTAATTTATTTTTTAGCTTTTGCATTTTTCTACGTCGGCTGTATTAGTGCACATTATATAAATAAGCAAATAAACAAATAAATAAATGAATTTATCAACGGATAAACAAATAAAAAGTACAAATAGTTAATAAATAGGTAAATAAATTATTAAATATATAAATAGATAACTAAATATATTAATAAATTCATAAATGAATAGGTAAATAAACATACAAACAAAAAAATATATATTTATTTAAAAAGTAAGATAAATTAATAAATATATAAGTAAATTATTTAATGAGTAAATAAAACATATATCTGTTATTTGAACCTCAGTTTTCTTCTTTTTTTGCTTGCAGGCCATTGTGGAGTTGCTGCATTTTAGTTTTCTAGCTTTTTCATAGTTTTCTTATCGTTTGAGCAGCAGCAGCACGAAGCAGAAGTAGAAGAAAGCTGTATCGCCCTGGGTCCCGCGGAGCTTTTACGGAGATCGCAAGCGAAGGTGGACAAGTGGCTGCTGTCGCAGTTCAGCAGTCATCAAGCACCTATGTTCAAAATGGATGCCACCGATTTTTGGCAGCAGGCAAGAGGTCCATTCGCACTGCAGCAGCAACAACAGTCGCTGCAACAACAACAACAGCCCCATCCCCATGCGCACCCGCATCCGTTGTCTAGCCAGCAGGAGCAGCTGACGAATGCTGGCAACAATTTAAATAGCTTGCCCTTAAATACCAAATTGGCAGAAAATCATATGCAGCAGCAACATGTTCAGCAACAACAACAACAACACACCCATCAGGCACAGCAACAACAACATCACGTCCAGCAAAATTCGCAGAACAGCATTGAAAGTCAATTGTTGCAGCAACATGTAGAGCAGTGCTATGGCAGCGAAACATTTGCTCAACATTCGTCAGCAGCGGCAGCGGCGGCGTCAGCAGCTGCCGCGGCAGCAACGCATTTAAGCAGTCATCATTTATTATTTAATGCGGCTGCGGCAGCAGCAGCAGCAGCGCATCTCAAATCGACTGCGCTGCAAAATAGCAGCAGCGGCGCCGGCATCCCAGCGACGGCGACTGATCAGTCGGAAAATGCGGTCGCTGTGAAGCCAAAACAGGAGCAGCAGCAGCAGCAGCAGCAGCAAACTGAGCAGCAACAATCGGAGCAACAATACAGCGATAGCTTTTTCAACGCCGAGCAACATTTGCATCAGCAACAACAACAACAGCAGCAGCAACTACAACAGCAGGAGCAGCAGCAGTCACACCCCCCTCACCAAGCGCACAGTCCCACGACGCTGACGCTGCTCAGCAAGCCGATAACGATAACGCAAGGCCTGCAATCGCCGCAACACTCGATAACACCGTCTGGCGGCAGTTCAACACCGGACATGAAATATAACAACGAAAAATTGGCCAATGAAATTCAGGTGAGCAATAATTAATTTTCTTATAATATTAACAATAAATATATAGATTTCTAATAAAATTTCTAATATATTTTAAATGTTTATATATTTATATTTAAAATTAAATATGGATTAATATTTCTAGCAAAAATATGATTTACTTTATATAGTTAGCTTATTTATTAGTATTTTTATTTAAGTTAACTATTCAGTTTTATTTTTATATTATAAAAATCTAACTTTAATTTTACATATTTAAAAGTATCCTTTTTTATTTATTTAACCTAAGATAGGCTTTTAATGATTTACTAATTAAATGCTAATTTTAATTGAACACTTTTAATTTAATTATATTTATATACTATAGGCTCGTCAAGTTTTCTTAAATAATCTTAAATCTTAAATAATATTTGAATTTATTTTAAAATATTATATATTTAATTTAAATATTGTTTAGATTTTTGAATGAATATATAAGATATAAAATGGCTTTGTACACACTCACAATTTTAGAAATATTCAGCTAAATAACATAAAATTCTGACTTCAAGAGAGACCGATTTAATGAAGAGCATAAATTCTCTTAGCTTAGGCCATTATCGCCAAGAGCTAGCAAAATTAAAAAGGGAGAGCAAAGCTTAGAAATTTCCCAAATCATAAATTTCCTATTTATACCCCAGGCGAAAAGCTCATCGCCCACTTCTTGGAGAAGCTCAAAGCTCTCCTTGCCTTGCCGACATTTTGCTTGAGATGATTTTGTTCTTGAATTTTTTTTGCGCGGTGGTGATTTTTTCTCTTCAGCTCAAGAAGCAGCAGCAAATAATTTCCCCGCACTAAGCAAAATTTCAATTATATATGTATATATATATATATATATATATATATATATATATATATATATATATATATATATATATATGTATGTGTGTGTGTAATTTTGAGCAATCAAGAGAGATAGAAATTCTTAGCTTAGTGTAATTTTTTTTGTCTCAAGTAACCCCAATTCATAAACGTTTCCCCCTCCCCCACCACCTCTTCCTTTTGCTTTCCCCTCCTATTTTTTTCACTGTGTGTTTGTGTGCATTTTGTGGCTGGGGTGGAATTCAAACGGTTGGGTTGGGTGTATGTGAGAGAGAGTAGGAAAGCGGGAGAGAGAGAGTGGTGAGTGCAAGTTTAGTTTTGTACAACTACACAACTAAACATGCACATACATACACACATAAACATTGCTTTCCACGCTGCCGCCGATGCTGCTGCTGCTGAGGAAGCAAGAGAGACAGAGACAGCGAACGCTTGACTGCAACAGAGTAAGAACGAGTTTTGTTTTCTTCTCTTTCTTTGTATTTTTAGTTTTTTTTCACTCGCGCATAATTTCTTGAAGAAAACAATAATAACACACACACGCACATACATACATACGGACGGCCGCTGTCTGTAAATTAGAAAGAGAAGCACAACGTCGACGTTGACGTCGACGTCGACGCCACAGTATAAGACGTTTTGCTTTGCTATCCCGTTTATGGATAAGGCGCCGGCAGAAGTTCAAAGGACATCGGGCCGTCAGGTTGTGTGTGACTCCGCAGTGAAAATAATACCAAAAAAATACCAAAGAAAAGAACAATATAAAAATATTATAAACATCAATACTTAATTGTGTTCGCGCAATGTTACACACGCACACAATTGTTAACCGATAACCGCTAACTTAAAATTTGACAGGAGCTTTAAGCCGGTTAAGACAACATCAACACACACATACACACATGCATACGCATTTAACATACGCATAAACACGAACACAATCACACACATATGCTCAAAAGAAAAAAAGCTCTTGTTGCTGCTGATTTGCCCATTGATGGATTCTGCTTCCCGCTGCCCCTTCTTCTGTAACCCAACGCAATACACAACAATAAACCCTTAACCCAATGCAGCCCGCAGGGATTTGATACATAATATAATTAAATAAAATTCGCGCGCGAAACAACAAAAAAAAACAAATAAAATATATAAAAAAAAAACACAAAATTATTCGTTACGTTTTGTTTGAATTTTGATGAAAATGACACTTGACTGTGAAAAGGAGCACGATGTAATTTTGGTTTTGCAATCTGAACAAAAATCTCTCTCAAAATTGAAATTAACCCTTCGCGTTTTATTTTCCTTGATTTTGGTTTGTTTGTGAAAATAATATTGCTCTCACATTTGTTTCCTATTATTTTGTTGTGGTTTTCCTTAAGAGTTTTTTCTGTTAGGATCTCAATTTTAGTAGGTAATTTTTTTTTTTTTTTTTTTTTTTAATATCTAATTTCAGAAATAAATTCATAACAAAATTTTAAATGTAGTCTAAAAATCGTTTTTATTTGCTTAAATTCTGGCGAGAATGGTCAAAATGTAACTATTTATTTAATGTCAGAAATTATAATCAAATAAATTCAAAATAAAATTTATCTTTAATGATTTTTAAATTAAATTTAAAAATAAACATATCTATTTTAATTGCTAAAGTTTTACTTATTTATTTAATATTTAATATCAGAAAAATGCGAATGAAATAAATTCAATTCAAAATATAATTTCACATTATGCTTTTAAATTTAATCTATAAATAAAATAATCTTTATTATTGGTTTAAGTTCGGCTGAGCAAATTCCAAATTAAAGTTAATGTCTGAAAATTACAATTAAATTCAAAATAATATTGAATATATATGCTTTTTAAATGTAATATAAATCAAATGTAGTCTTTGTTATTTTTTTAAAATCTGTTTAGGCAAGAAAAGTTAATTTTTATTTATTAATTTAATGTCAGCAATATGCAAATGAAAGTCAAATAAATTTTAATTTATAAGCTTTATCAGTTTAATAGTTATTTGTTAAATCTAATAAGTTATTTATTTGTTAATTATATTAATAATAACTAGTAGATACAACTTTTAATAGGCAAAAGAAGAGCCCAATTAAATTATCTTATTGTTAGAGAAATACAAACAACAATCTAATAAATTCAATATATAATTTGAATGCTTTTTAAATTTAAACTAAGCAAAAACAACAACAACTTATTATTCCTATTAAAACCAATATTTTTATTGATATGCCAAAAACTATTTGATTCATTTCAATTTATATTTTGTATTTATTTATTTTAATTTAAAATACAATTACTTAATATATTTATTCTGACAGGCTTCAAATTTATTTCATTCAAATACTTGAGTTTGTTTTTTTTATTATTATGTTCTGTTAATATTTCTAATTTTCTTTATATAAATTTAAATATTCAATTTGATTTGCTTAAATAAATAAATTAAACTTGAGCAATACAAACACAAATCATTAATAATTAAATTCAGCTTTCTACAAAATAAATGAAGAGAAAAACAAGTTGATTAACAAATTCAGCTTGATTTAAATTCCCATATTTTATATTTTGTGTGAGCAAAAAAAAACAAACGAAACCACTAATTAAATAGCTAATTTTTGTAATAACAAACGACTAACCGATTATTTGCCAACTGGCAAATTAACAAAAGCACGTAATGTTTTATTTATTAAATTAAATTTGTTACAACAACAACGAAAAAAAAACAATTAACAAAACATTTAAGACAAAATCTAAGTAAATTATTCTGTTTATTTGTTACTTTTTTAATAGTTTCTCTGAGCAGAGAAATTTCAAAAATCTCTATGGCTTTCAAAATGATATGATGGTCACCCTAATTGAGATTTTTGGTATTCTCTGTGGAAGATCTAATTGTAAGCACACACAAACCAAAAAACATACACATAAATTATTGATTTATTAATTTTTTTGTATTTCACTTTCAATTTATGTTGCCTAAATTGAAGCTGAAATAAACTTAAAATAAATTTAAAATTAATCTATATTATTAATAAAATACGTTAATTTACAAAATTTATATATATTATAGATTTTTTTATTTAATATTGACCAAAAATATATAGATATGTATATATATTGATCGATCTATTATTATTCATTTATTTTTGTTTTATTTTAAATGATTGGAAATTAAAAGTGCATAATGAAATTATGAAAATGAATATGAAAAATATAAATGCACAAAAATGTTATTGATTTATTTTTATTTAATGCAAATTAATATGGAATAATTAAATTGAAATCTAAAATTAAAATTAAATATATATAATTCAATTTTTTTACTTATTTCAAATTGAATATTAAATGATTGCAAATTAATAATAACTAAGTGTGTGTGATTGTGTGTAATTATATGTATTTATCTAGCTTTATTGTATTTGTTTTTTGTTTCATATCTGTGGCTCTCAAAACTAGATGAAATTTAAATGTGATAAAATTTGTTCTTGCGATTCATATTTCTGATAATCTTCTTCTTCTCGTTTTGCAGCTTCAGCTGTCGCGGTCGAGCAGCGCCGCAGCGATCAGCGAACGAACACTTGAAGAATGTTGGTCGACCCTGCAACGAGTGAGTTGGCATCTCTTCCGTTGTGTATAGTACTCTTCCACGTTGAAGACACGAACACATAATGCACATACACATATATCTATATACCTATTGTAGCTGCCACATTCACACACATACAAATACAAAGCACACAATCCACACACAAGCAGGCTATTTTCTCTTTATTTCAAACTCAAATTTGGTGTCTTATGTTCGTCATGCTTTAATCGATCGTTGAGTCGAACAAAGGCCGCTAAAGGTAGCATACAATTAAGCTCAAACATATGTGGTGTTGATCAGCTGCAGTTATGAGAGAGAGAGCGAGAGGGAGGGAGACAGGTAGACACTGCTTAGCAAATACACAAACCATTTTGAAATTTTCTGTTTCCTTAAATTTAAATTATTTTTAATTTGAGTACAAAATTTGGAATATAATATTATAAAACTGCTGCAGAGTTGTGGGAATTTGTTGCTTGTTTTCTCCTTTCATTTTAAGCTTAAAAAATAATCAAAATTTGTGTATACAAATACACACACACATATACATATACATTTTATGTATTTTGTGTTTGCTCGACTGCAAATTGCATTATTTGTGTGTTTATTTGCACAAGTCAACACACATGTATGTATGTGTGTACAATTAAGTGCACACACATTCAGCTGCATATTTGCAAACACTTAAGATGTGAAGCTAAGCCCGTTTCTTAGTTAACAGGCTAGCCATGCACGGGAGATTGAGAGAGAGAAAGTGGAATAAAGAGAGAAGAATGAACGCCGAATTTGAAATACACTGTAAACAATTCAAATTCGGTGATTTATTCAAGAAAACAATTTTAAGTTGCTATAAAAAAGGAAATAGTTTAAAAAGTTAGTCTCTCTCACACATATGATATATATTTATTTATTTTATATGTTAATGTGTTTCGCATACATATTTTATGCTGTAATAATTAAGTTTAGTTTACGCACTTTTTTTTATTTTAAGTTCTTATTATTACAATTTAGTCTAAAAACAACTTGCTTTAGATAATTTGTCAATAAATTAATTTAAACGTCTAATAATTTACGCCATTATTTTATGAACAATATATGTTATTTTATTAAATGCATTTGAATTTTTTTTTTTTCAGTTTTTATTGTGTTTTTATATTATATTTTTCGATGGTAAGTATTTCTTTGTGTAAGTGCTAGCGAAATACCTTGTTGCATCCCGTGTGCACTGCACCTTAATTTTTACTGAGCTACTTATACAGAAACGCACACAGAGACACTATTATACATGCACATACATATTTCCCAACTTGATCGTTGCTCAATTTGAAGGAGCAATTAATTAATATCTTCTCTTGTAATCGCTTTGATCTACTTTCTCTTGTAAGTCAGTCTTAGAAAGTAATACAGCAGCAGATATTTATTAGAAGCTCTTATAAGCTGGTCGATCTCACTCTTATAAACCAGTCAGATTTGTAAAGCGATATTCGTTGAGTTAAGTTTCTAAGAGCGAGCATAGAAGAACAAGCAGATGTAAGAATTTACATGCACACACACTTGCAACAGTGCAAACAGTGCATATTTTCCTGTCTGAAAAAGATAGAATAAGAAAATAGTAAAAAGATAGAAAGGCTAAAAGGAAATTACAAAAAAATGGGCATAAGAAGGAACAACAAAGACAATAAACTTATACACACACACATACGTGCATGTGTATGCATGTTTGTACTAGCAGACAAATATGTAGACACAGACAAAGAATATCGAAGACAAAAATATCCCAAGACAATTTAACCAAATACAATGTCCATATGCATGCACGTGTATGTATGAGAGTATGTGTGAATAAGCAATAATACATACACACATACACTTGCACACGCACACGCACACACACATTTTTTTTTTTTTTTTTTGGAAAGTGCCGAAGAAACAAATTACCTGTCTGTGTGAGTGTGTGTGTGTTGTATGTCTGGGTTTGTTCCACCCTCAGCACAAAAATAAAAAACAAGACGAAGAAGAACAAGAGCAGTAGCTAACACACACACACACACACTTTTTTATTTTGTTCAGCCCCCTTTTTTCTCTCTTTTTGCGACCATTTTCATATTGCTCGCCTTCGACCACTGCCGGTTTTTTTTTCCTCTGTTTCTGCTTCTTTTTTTGCAGCTCCTCCCTACACACACACACACACACACACACACACATACATACATATATACGGGCAGGCATTCAGCACACAGACGATGGCCGCAGTAGAAATTCATTGGCGCACAAAACCCTTGCCCCTTGCCAACCCATCCCTAGTGCGTGCTTAGAAAAATAAGCAAACCGAGCGCAAGAGAAAAATGTGCACAAGAAAGTGAGGGAAAAAAATTTTGCACATGTATATAGGACTATTTATACACATATACATGTATAAATGCACATGCTTATATACATTATACGCAAACATATTGCGCTACAATTCGTATACACATTTTTCGCATTCTGCACATTTTAATTTATTTACATTTGATACAATATAAAAAAGATGTAAGCCATAATTTAAAAAAAGAAGGAGAACACATATTGTGAGATTTAATACAGTTATTAAACAACAGCAAACCCCCGCCACAATTCCTAGAGTTGCCTTTTTCTTTCTGGCTTGCTAATGTTATGAAAACTGTTTTCTATTTAATGTTAATGTAATATCAATGTTAATTAGTAGCAGAAGAAAAGCAGCTCTAGCTCTGATAGGAATAGTAGTTCAAAATATTATATATATTGTATGAAATATAATTCAACATTATTAAAAAAAAAAAACTATAATAATGTAGCCACACGAAATATGTAGCTATATTATTTAAAAAAATCATAAAATCATAATAGTAATAAACATGTAAAATAATTATAATAATGCATTTTGCATTTAAATGCCCCCAAAAATCTAATAGAACTTATAAATATTTCTCTTATTTTCTTTATTGAAAATTTAACTATTAAATTGTATTTTTATTTCAACTATTTTAACCATTTTAAACTTTTTTGTGTGTCATTTGTATTTTTTACTTCAATAAATGAATAAATCAATATATACATAAATAAATAAGAGTAACGTAATATAAAAAAAAAAAACAATTTACTGATATTTAGTAGTTGCTTGAAAATGCATATAAGCACACACACACACACATACCTAGCTATGTACATAAAAGTACGCTTGTGTGTGTGTTTGTGTGCGCAGTTTTCAGTATTCTGTGCATTTCCCCTGTACAACAACAGCAGCAGCAACAAGAAAAAGAAAAGGAACCGTTCACTGACCCACGTCCATTTATAGTCGCAGTCTCCTCTTTTACCCTGCTACGCACACACACATATACAAGCATGCTATTATCGCACTCTCATTTGCCGGCGATTCGCAGAACTGCCGTTGGCTGGACAGTGCCGCCTGTCGACCAAAGCTCGCCATTTTTATGCGTTTGCAAAGCAATAGGACGAAACGGACGAAGCGGGCAAGACTGACGAAAGCAACGCAGAGGCGAGCGTAGGTGTATAGTGTGGGAGGGGTGGAAGAGGGGGGCCTGCGCTCGCTAAGCGTAGAAAAGTGCAGTCGCCTCGGCCAAATGACGAGCAACGGCGAATCGGTGGGAGTGCAAACAAACCGTTTGGTGACCAACCAACCAGAGAACACCGCACGCGGCTCTGCTGCCGACTGCTGCGTGCTGCCTTCTGTCTAACTGTGTGTCGGTGTCTGTGGCTGTGTGCCTGTCTGTGCCTGTGTGTCTATTTTTCTGCTTTTTGCCATCGTTTCTCGTTCTCGGATACTATTACAATTACAACTACAAACAAAACTACAACTGTATTTCTTGGGGATTATAGTCAGCTAGCTTTTAATTCCATATATATATATATATATATATATATATGTATGTATGTATGTATGTATGTATAAATGTCTAAACTTGAGTATTTTCTTGAGATTTTTCCAAGGCGTATATTTTAAAATATTAATTCCAATAATTATAATAAGTTACGACAATTCTGTGGAACTGCTCAACTTTTGGAATGTATTATTTTTATTATATTATTATTACTATTATTGTTATTATCTCTGTTAAGCATTTCGGGCCTATCTTAAACATTTTTTTTATGTTTAGAATTATAAATGAATAAATAAATTTCTTATTTTAGTTTTTGTCTCGTAATATTTATCATGGATTTTATATAGATTCTTAAATTTAAGCGTGTTGAAATTAGACCTAGCAAGCATCAATAATTATAATTACAATAGTAATCGTTTTTTTTCTTTATTGACCGCCTGTAAAAATTATTATTAAACCAGATAATGCAAGGTCAAAGCTATAAAATTAGTTGTCTTATGAGATTAGCATCAATTACATATATGTTATAATGTCAAGGCGAATATTCCAATTATTTTTTTATATTTTTCTTACAACTATTTAAAAAAAATATTAACAACTATCATGAACTGTAACAATTTGAATATTTTGAAAACTTTGTGAAAGCGTTTTGATCTGTTTAAATTACAAAAAATCTATAATATATAAAACAAAAAATACACCTACAAATCTTATAAATATTTCTTATTTTTTAATTTATATATATAATTTAAAATTGTATTGTAAATTAAATTTAATTTAATTTTGTACTTTTTGTATTTTTTGTGTCAACTGATTTTAGTTGACCTTAAATAGATAAATGAATAAATAAATGCATTAAATGTTTCCATATATGCATATATTTATGGCATTTTTGGGAAGTTATAAAAATATAATCTAATATTATATAATAACCTGAAAAAACATCAAATAAACTTACTAGGAAAATAGTAAAGCAAGCCTAAAAATGATCATAGAACAATAATTATAATTACTTTACATCGAATCAAATCTGATCAGAATGCATTAAGAAATATATAAAATAAAAATAAATTTCTTAGTAAAAAGCTAAATTTATAACTCTGTCAAAATACTTTCTTGGAACACTGTTCATATGTGGGCTAACTGGGGGAAAGATATGGATATGTGTCTCTCCTTCAGGCTGTTGATTTGACCCACTTTATGCGTAATCCACAAATACTTTATAGATATATATATACTTTATATATATACTTTACATATATACTTTATATATATATTTATTATTATATATATATGTATCCACAAACACGTTGTAGTTAATAACAATAATTTTTTAAAATTTCCAACGAAGGGAAACGAATTGCTTCCGTTTATTAAATACTGCATGTTTTTTATAATTATTTTTTTTTATTTACATTTATTTTGCTGATTGATAAAATTTTTGTACAATCAGCACAAAATGCGAGCCCCATTTTTTATTGCTTTGAACCAAAATACCCATTTATGTAAATATATATATAAATATATATTTCGGTGGCTAAAAAAAATGTGTTTAAAAAAGCCAACAAAAAATTTGTTGGTTTTGCTGACTTGTTTTTGACTTGTACAACATGCAACTATACACATTTTTATAATAAAATATCATAAAAAACAAAACAAAAAAACGTAAGAAAAAGACATATATATATGTATATATACTCGTATATACATATATAATATAAAGTATTATTTCAATGAATTTTGGCACATCTATAAGTAAGCCTAGCAACACAGACGCGACAGCAGTTTGTGCGTTAAGATACCATCAGAAAGTCGATTTATTATCCAAGTACTCTCTCATATATACACTTTGACAAGAGCGTAACCTTGACACGAGAAAAACCGCAAATAAAAAAATTAAGATCGCGAAAAAATAAATAATATTAACAGCAAATGCAGTAAGTATCAAGTGTAAATACACACACACACACACGCATACAGTTGCGGTCATAATTATAATGTTGATTGTAATTGTCAATATTTTAATAGACCCTATTCGTATTGCTTTCGATTTGTTGGTTTATTTTACGCTGCGACTTTTAATTCATTTATTAAAATAAAAAATGGCTTAAAATATACAAATAAAAATTAATTAAATAAATATGGTAACACATTAATTTTTATTTATTTACTTAATGTGGAATTACGTAAAAAGGGTTAAGTTAAATTTACATTTAAAAATAAATTTAATTAGATAAAATTTAAAATGAGCTTAAGGTATAAAAATAACAGATTAGTAAAGAAGTATTAAAATGGTTCAATTATTTAATGTGCACTAAAAGCAATTTACTATTTATGCAAAGGATTTTAAACATTATTTAAAAATAATAAAATAAAATAAAAATTAATAAATAAATATTAATTATTATATAGACAATTTCGCTTTAGGTATTTATTTAAGGAATTATTTTATTATTATTATTTATTTACTTATAGACATTTTTTCTTAATACTTTTTTACCTATCTTAAAAACTAAATTTTTCATAATTTTAGAATTATTTTTTTATTATCTTATATGTTTTTATATTGAGCGCTGCTACAAAAATATATTCTTTCACATACATACTCTTATTTAGAAATAGGTCATAGGTCTTTGTAAATATTGATATCGATTAATATCGATTTATCGATTGTTTACCAACCTTAACACATGCTTGTGCAAAACATAATCAAATTATAAGCTAAATTATAGGTATTTATATACCCTATACTATATTATATGATACTTATCGATTGCTAACGATTTATGGATTTATGTAATTTCAGCTGTTCATGCACAAGAGCGCAATGCAGCAGATCCAACAGCAGATACCACGGGTTGGTATCGGTGCCCACGGCGTATCCAGCACGGCTAGCATGGGCGGCGGCGGAACGACACCGGGCGCGGAGACGAAGCCCCATCAGTGCCAGCAGTGCATGAAGAGCTTCTCCAGTAACCATCAGCTTGTCCAGCACATTCGTGTCCACACCGGAGAGAAGCCCTACAAATGCTCCTACTGTGATCGTAGATTTAAGCAACTATCCCACGTCCAGCAGCACACACGTCTCCACACCGGTAAGTAATACCCCCTAAGTGGTAAAAAAAAAAAATTATAATAGTTCATACATAAAATACTCAAAGCAAACTTAGGGATAATATAGTCTTAGCTCGAAGAAAGTTGAATCCTCCCACATAAATTTGGGTTTGGTAATAATCCTAAAAGATACCACAAATTATAATAATAATTTATTTATTTATTTAAATCTATTGATTTATTTAATGTCAAAATAATACAAAAAGTAATATAAATAGCTGAAATTAAATTAAAAATATAATTCAATATTAAAATAATTCATATTAAAAAAAATATTTATAAGATTCATAAGATAAGTTAGGATATATATATATTTATATACATTGCCTTTATCTTCCTTTATTGTTATAATTATATACTTATTTAACAACAATATTAATACAAAAAGTAAAAAATTATTGAAATTAAATTGCATATAGAAATTTAATATTAAATTTCAAGTTAAACAAAAAACAGAGAACGTTGTAGTCAGGTGTAACCGACTGCGAAATACTGTACCGATCTTTGAAGGAAATTTTTAGTAAACTGAAAAATCTTAAATTACTAAGGAAGGTTCCTAATAATCTTCCTTCCAAGTTTGGTAGCTTTACCCCTTATATTGCGGTATATGTCGATTTTTATCGTTTCTGAGGGTGGGATTGGGCGTGGTCCAACATTTTTTTGGTGGATTTTTGAAGGGAGTTACTAAAAATTACCTTCAACGTAAGCAGATTTTCCGAATCGTGGGGTGCCTGGGGTAAAATATAAAATATATATTAATATTTGACGAAAATATTAGATTATATTTATATTATATACTTTTTTTAAATAGATATAAATAAATTCAAGTTCAACGTCAGCAGAAAAGAAACTGTATATGGTTTGCTGAGCTCTTTTTATAATGTAAATATATTTTTTTCCAGGTGAAGTGTTTTTTTTATCTCCCTAACTTCAGGCCATTTTATCTTAATTATTCCTTGCATGTATATTTCTCGAGTTCTCTTTAAGGATTAAAATAAACTGTATCATCTAATAAAATTAGAGTTCGCTCTATCATTAATAATTAAATTTAAGTTTTGAATTTAATTGAAAATAAGTATTATTATTATTTTGTATTATTCTGTTTCGCCTGATTTTTGTCGACATTAAATAAATGAATAAATATATTTGTAATCATGTCGAGAGTTGCTTTAATTTATTAACAATTCAAAAGTATCTCAATTACATATTTAGTAATTAACCTATGTCCATTTTATACAAATTTAAAACTTACATTTTGATCGCTACTTTTTTATTTTTAATTATTTAATTGATTTTAGATTGATTTTAAACAGTTTTAGAGTTGCCCAAAATTTTGTATATAGATGCCTGATTAAAAAAAATTGTTTTTAAATATATTCACTAATATAATTATAATATATATTATAATATATATATATATATATATTTATATATGTATAATATAATATAATAATATAATCATAAAAAGTAATCATTATAAATATCAGCTTAGATATTTATCAATTCCTGCTTAATATATATATTCGTCCAGAGTTTCACTTAACGAAGCTACTTACATTAAGGGTAGTCCCATTTTTTAATTTGCACTCTTTGTAATTAGAGTTTGCAGAATTTGTATCCCCGGTTGCAGCTTGATTTCTTATTATCATTTGCTTATTATGATTACTCCTAATATTTTGCTCGTTGTCCTGTTTCCCCATTATTGCAAAGCTGATGAAACGCTTAGTACGTCTCACAAATTAAAACCCAGCCAACAACTTGTAACGTGGAGCAAATCGCCTATTTTATCCGCCACAGAAACATTTTGTGAAATAAAAATATTATTTTTGCGACGCAAATGTTTATTATTGATTTATTTATTTAATGTCAACTAAAGTCAATCGGCACAAAAATACAAAAAGTAAAAAAATTTAATTAAATTAAACTAAAAATAAAATTTAAAATTATATATACATTTTTATAAGATTAACGATCTAGCGATAGCGATATGAATGGTCCAAGATTTGTTGCATGAATTGGGAAAAGTCCAGAAAAAACCCAATCAGACCAAAAAAAAAATAATTTGTATGATAATGACTACCAGAAAATTTATTTTTCATGTATTAAAACAATAAATATTTGAATAAATTTAAAAAGAAGTGAAGTTAATCTATTTAATATTTTATGACTCACATTATAAATTCGCCCTAAAAACTATAAAGTTATTCTGCTTTTTAGAAATAATTAAAAGTGATTTTTTTCTATTTTATAAAAAGTAAAAGCAAGTGAATTTTTAATTTATTTTTATTTTAATTCATTTTACAATTTCAAATTGCTTTTCAAAGTAAAATTATGACAAATATTAAACTTAAAACCTTTAAATAATAAGGTTCTATAATAATTAATATAATTAATAAAAATATTCCACGCATAAAACCCGACACTGGAAATTAAACATCTTGTAAAATTTTCAAAACAAATTCAGAATTTAAAAAATTAACAAAACTGGATTTAAAAATATTCTTATTGTCAAATAAGTTGAGCCCATTTTCTAAAACTCAGGCCAATTTTTAGCTGAGTGTATAAATACCAAATGCAAGCTTATAATATATATTAATTATTGTCACATATTTTTTATTTATATTATATATCTTAAATTATTATTTTTTATATAACATTTGTATGCAGTTCTACATCGTATAATTAGTTCATATTTTTAACTTAAATAGATAATTTTAAATTTTATTTGATTCAATGATTTTACCTTTTGAATTTTTTGTGTCAACTGACATTAGGTGCCATTAAAAAATAAAAACAAAAAATTAAATAATAATATAATATTAAATATTTTATATTCCATAAAATGTGACATTTTTCTACTGTGCCATCTTTATTTCGCTGGAAGAAAAAATTATTTTAATATGAATACAGTTAGCAGGACCCGTCATATTTAACTGGCAGTTTTGTCTGGTTCCAATGACAAAATGACAAAATGCCGAAATGCCAAAATGACAATGATAATTAAATAAACTTTGAGTGCTCTTCGTCGCGACTTTTCCGGCTTTTTCTGACGCCAGCTGCGACTAAAAATACCTATGGGAATAAAGTAATAGCAAATATATAAATTGTGGAGAGGGGGTTGAGAGGAGCGAGGGGAGAGGGTTGCTTCTCAAATTATTCAACGTCATTAGTTGCATTGAAAAACATTTTTTTTCGCTCTGTTTTTTCTTCTATTTTTTTGGGTAGCTTGTTATATTCACACCTGATTGAAACATTACAATTCATAATTTTTTTCTTTTTATTATTTTTTGGCTGCTTTTATGCATAGTTTCTGGTTTCCTTTTCTTGAAAAGCTGGCATCAAATACGCTTTAATTAAAAACCTGTTTGTGCTCAGCTAAAAAACTCTGTGACCTTCAACGTTATTATTGCTGGTCTTGAGATTTTTTAGTTTTTTTTCGGGCGATTTCCTGGCCTGGTTTGGGTAATTAGACAATGCAATGTTAAAGCAAAGATTCAAGACTCTAAACAGGCATCAGCATCAACAACTCAGATAATGGAGAGGCTATTAAACAGCCTCTTTCAACCCCCTTCAATCGCTTAAGCAAAATCCGCAGCGTACAAGCTTTGGAGGCGACACCAGTCACGAAATTCCTTGGCAAGTACTCGTGTTCGAGAGAACGTGACGTTCTTTAAGGCTTGCTAAAAGTGCACAGCGCTTTATACACTGCCATTATTAAGATATTAATAATGAATGAATATTAAATTCGAGAATTTCTGCTTCTGAGAAAACTATTTCTAAATATACCAAAAGCAATAAGAAATTTGTAATTTATAGCTATAAGAATACTCCAAAGTTATACTATTCTTAAATTCAACTTCGATTTCTTTATAAGTTAATAATTAATGAATCCATTATTATTTTTATTACTTTGACTTTAATTTCTATTTACATTTCTAATTTTTAAAAGGTAATTAATTAATTCCTTATAAGTTAAATATATTTTTATAAATTAATTAATTTTATGCTTATCAATTTTATTTTTAATTAGATAAGAAAATTCGTTAAATTTGAATTTGAAATATTTTCTATTCTCATTAGAAATGAATTTCCTAATAATACAAAAAAATAGAAAAACGGCCTTTCTAATTTTAAGAAATTGTTTGTTAGTCAAAAATAGCTATTTTCATATGCACTTTTTAAATGTATGTGCTAATTATAGAAAACATTTATTATATTAAAAAATAGTTTTTGGCATGTCCAAAAATTGATTTCTAAAAATCAGACTTATAATTTTCGGGTCGATTTTTATTTTATATTAAGTTTTATTAGAAGGCAATTTTAAATGTTGGCTGATTTTTTTTCGAGTGTAGTTGAAGTTTCTTAAAGTGCCCCGTCCAAATAAGAAGAGCGACTTTGTGCAGCTCGAGGTGTGAAGTGAAGTTTCGCTGCAACAACTGATGAGGCGACTACTGCCGATTCCACTGCTTTGGCGAGTTGTTGATTGTTTCTATAGGAGGATGGTGGATAAGGAAGGGTGGATGAAAGGGGGGGAAAGGGATTCCTGGGTAATTTGCGTTTTTTGGCGACCGCACGCAGTCGCTATTTATTTGCATTTACTATTACGGTTAGGTGTCGTTGTCGCTCGCAAAGTGACTCTAAGTAGCTTAAACGATTTAGTCCTTTTTCTTTAAAGGGGACCTTTTGCGTACCTTCCAGCGGCGGCGACTCGTGTCTCGCGTCACTGACCTCCACTTGCCACTTGCCACTTTTTCATTTAATTGCGCGTTCAAATGAAATTAATTTTGCTGCAAATCTGAAACACGTAATTGCTGCATAGCTGCATCTTTTACAGCGACCCATAAGTATTACTCTTGCCATACTGCCACTGCCACTGCCACACTGTCTGCAACATTATTTCCGAGCGCTTACTTTATAATCTCGTTAAAATGAAGTCAATCAGTCAATAACGGACTCCAGTTGCACGTTACAAGACGTTGCG